CTGCAAAAACTGTAAATCAGACTAAGTCAATTTTTCTTAAAATAAGTGCATTTTTGGTTGAACTGAGAATTGCTAATGGCATAAGACAATTGACATTTAAAATAAGGAAAAGCTAATGGGACTGAAACCAGTTCAGGGTCAGCCTGTACTGGTCACAATGTTAAATGAGTTGATCAGTTAATTTTTTATCTTTTATTACATAGAAGACGCCTACATTCTAACAGGAAGAGCCTCTGCTGGAGGTTTCTTCCTGTTCAAAGGGAGTTTTTCCTCTCCACTGTCGCTACAAGCATGCTTAGTGTGAGGGATTGCTGAAGAGTCAATGAGTCGATGCAATCAGCTGGTTTTCCATAGATAGAAAACTTTGAATCAATCTGACTGGATGATCTGGTTGAACTGGAAAGTGACCTGAGATGACATGATGTTAATTGGAGCTATAGAAATAGACTGAATAGAATTGAGCTTCAGCTCTTTAAATGGGAGCATCTTCAGCTCCACATCCAGACGCCTCTGTTAGAGCCTGAAGGTAGCAGCTCTGTGTAGAACAGAGCATCTCTGGAAGAAGTAGAGCTGCTCCTGAAAGCAGGGAGAGTTTATTAAACTCTCCAATAATCGTCATGAACTCAACCTTCCAGTTGCATAAACATGTTATATGTTGATAGAGATCCTTTTAAATGTAAAAGCGATGATGTTTTTGCTGCAGAGCTCAGCTGTGTTGGCTGGGTCATTATTGCAGCTGTAATGTAAACCCGCTGCTCGTATGAGGGCTGCATATTTACACAGTTTACTCCCAGAGAGCCAAAAATAAAGGTGAGAAATGAATGAGCTCCTTCAGCAGCAGGCCACGCTAATTTATGACGTGTTTCCATCATTTCGGAGGACGCCGCATTAATCTGCCCCAAACTCCAGCATCAGGGAGGCGATCGGACCTCTGCTGGTCGGCGCTTTAACCCTTCAACTCCCAGGCAGACGGCTAAAGAAAAGGTCAGCCTGATGCTGAGAGAAGAAATTAAACGAGGGAACCAGCAGAGTGGTGGCTACCATTCTGACTGCGCCTCTGTTTGTCCTTCATCTCTCCGTCTGACCTCTGACTGAGAGGTCAGAGGCGTCGATCTGGGTCGGTTCGAAGCTTCGTTCATCAAACCAAAGAACCGTTTTAATGTTTAATCGTTTCATTTCCCGCCTCCTTGGTTTTATGATCGCAGAGTTCTTAATCATTTTACTGGAGCTGAATCATAAAAATTCCTATTTGTTCCTCCACTGATTAAACGCTGCAGGTATTCATGTCTGCCTGGTGTCACAAAGGTGTTTACAATCAGTGGAAATTGGTCAGACTGAAAGGAAAAAAGGTCTCCTGATCAGCTCTAATCTGAGCTCCTTTCTTTGTTTATTAGGCGGCGTTGCACAGCAGGCAGAGGACTTATTGTCGGATAATTCTGCAGCGCTGCAGCAGCAGCGCTCTTACAGCCGCTGCTTTTCAGGAAAACTTCAGAGTGACAGCACACTCACTGGTTAAACTGGGATTGCATTAACCTGGGAGGTTTGAACGACTCAGTGAATCACTGATGCCTGCTGGTCTGGAACAGTGAAATCATCTCTAACTGTCACATCAGTCACGGTCACGTTTCCAACCATGCACTCAGAAAAATGACTCACTGGATTACCTCTATTTAATTGATTGCAGGTTTTTTCCATCCAATGCATTTTTTCTGGGTTTTTTATTATTGAGTCTGTTAAACACCATCCATCCATTTTCCGTATCACTTTATCCCAGCTGGGGTGGCAAGGGCTGCTGGTGCCGATCTCCAACTGGAGACCTGCCCTCCCTGGACGGGTGACTCCATCGCAGGGCAGGAGACAAACAACCATTCACAGAGAAGCCGGTTAACCTAACAGTCATGTTTTTGGACTGTGGGAGGAAGCCAGAGTACCTGGAGAGAACCCACGCATGCACAAGGAGAACATGCTAACTCCATGCAGAAGGAACCCAGACCGGGAATCAAACCCAGAACCTTCTTGCTGCAAGGCAGCAGTTCTACCACTTTGGCCAAATTGCTTCAACAATCAGTTTATGAGGCTTCATGTGAATATGTCACCACCTACTGGTGGAAAGCAGAACCACAGTTGGTTAATATGATCTCTGATTTTTTTTCTTGTTTATTTCCAATTTTAAAAGTGTTAATTTTGAAAGCAAATTCTGATTTAGTCTTAGTCTTTTGAATAAAACAACATTTAGTTTTACTCATATTTTAGTCAACTGAAATTTTTTTGTCTTAGTCTAGTTTTTGTCGACTAAATGTCAAAAGAGTTTTAGTCTAGTCTTAAGTCTTTTAGTCTTAGTTTAGTCTCAGTCTAGATTTGAATTAGACTTGAATTTCCCCTTGGGGATCAATAAAGTATCTATCTAGATTTAGACACAGATCGAACAGTTACAGATCCTAAACATGTATTTTATTTTGAATTTAAAAAAGATTAACTGTGGCTTTGCTCCCTGAATGATATGAAATGCATATAACATTTTTCAAGATGTTATTATTGAAATGGATAAACCACTCAAAAAACGTCTATTTTATTCCAAGTTTAGCGCAAACAAGACGGTTAATCAAATAAAAAATAACCTTGTATGCTTAGAGTGTATGCTTACCTTCGCATGTATCTCTGGATGAGTCGTTTGCGTTTCAAGTTGGTGTTTTTTCCGGATATTTTGGCTCCACACGGTTTGCAGGCTG